TGATCGAAACTCCAGGCTCCAGAATGCCTGGCCGATCGAACATCCATGATCGAGGTTCGATCGAGGCTCGAGGATCGAGGATCGAGGGCCCCAGATACTTCGAGGGTCGAGGATAGAGGTCCGGTCGAACAGCGACCATCGACTTCCCAGGATCCAGTCCCGATCGAAAGTCGCAGCTCGAAAGCCGAACGACGGACGAATACCAGGATGCGGTTCTTTCGGTGTAGCTCCGATCTCAACTTTTTAATCCAGGGGGTGGTACGAATGGAATGGGCTAACTTTTGCCTCTTGAAGGCCCTCTTGGGGCCCACTTCGGCCATCTTCAAGCCATCTCGGGTGGGCCTCGCTGAGGCTGTCTTGGGGCCCTCTGGGGGGGCCCTCGGAACCCGGAAATCATGATCCCATAGAGGCTTCCTGGAACATGATTTCGAACGAGGCCCTCTTGTGCCTCCCTGAGGACGTCTTAGGGGCCTCTTGGGCCGTCTTGGGGGGTTCCGCGAGCCCCACGGGACGACCCTTTCGGGCCGTCTTGGGCACTCTTGGGTCTCTCTTGGGCCGTCTTGGGTCCCCTCGGGAGCGTCTGGGGCACTGCGAAGACGAAGCAAGCGAGTACGCTGAAAACGCACGTTTTACGAATGGAATGGGCTGATGTTTGCCTCTTGAAGGCCCTCTTGGGGCCCTCTTCGGCCATCTTCAAGCCATTTCGGGCCCTTTTGGGCCTCGCTGAGGCTGTCTTGTGGGCCTCTCGGGCGCCCTGGGAACCCGGGAATCATGTTCCCGAAGAGGCTTCCGGGAACATGCTTTCGAACGAGGCTCTCTTGGGCCTCCCTGAGGCCGTCTTGGGAACCTCCTGGGCCGGCTTCGGGGCTTCTTGGGCCGTCTTGGGGGGGTCCGTACGACCCTTTCTGGCCGTCTTGGGCCGTCTTGGGTCTCTCTTAGGCCGTCTTGGGGCTCTTCGGGGGCGTCTGGGGCACTGTGAGACGAAGCAAGCGAGGATGCTGAAAACGTACGTTTTACGAATGGAATGGGCCGATGTTTGCCTCTTGAATTCCCTCTTGGGACCCTCTTCGGCCATCTTCAAGCCATCTCGGACCCTCTTGGGCCTCGCTGAGGCTGTCTTGTGGGCCTCTTGGGCGTCCTCGGAACCCGGAAATCGTGTTCCCGGAGAGGCTTCTGGGAATATGATTTCGAACGAGGCCCTCTTGGGCCTCCGTAGGCCGTCTTGGGGGCCTCCTGGGCCGGCTTCGGGGCCTCTTGGGCCGTCTTGGGGGGTTCCGTGAGCCCCACAGGACGACCCTTTCGGGCCGTCTTGGGCACTCTTGGGTCTCTCTTGGGCCGTCTTGGGGCTCCTCAGGGGCGTCTGGGGCACTGTGAGACGAAGCAAGCGAGGATGCTGAAAACGTACGTTTCACGAATGGAATGGGCCGATGTTTGCCTCTTGAAGGCCCTCTTGGGGCCCACTTCGGCCATCTTCAAGCCATCTCGGGCCCTCTTGGGCCTCGCTGAGGCTGTCTTGTGGCCCCCTGGGGGGGCCCTGGGAACCTGGAAATCGTGTTCCCCGAAAGGCTTCCGGGAACATGATTTCGAACGAGGCCCTCTTGGGCCTCCCTGAGGACGTCTCAGGGGCCTCTTGGGCCGTCTGTGGGGCTTCTTGGGCCGTCTCGGGGGGTTCCCGTAAGCCCCACAGGCCAACCCTTTTGGGCCGTCTGGGGCACTCTTGGGTCTCTCTTGGGCTGTGTTGGGTCTCCTCGGGGGCGTCTGGGGCACTGTGAAGACGAAGCAAGCGAGGATGCTGAAAACGTACGTTATACGAAAAAGATATGGGCCGATTTTTGCCTCTTGAAGGTCCTCTTGGGGCCCTCGTCGGCCATCTTCAAGCCATCTCGGGCCCTCTTGGGGCGCTCTTGGGCGTCGTCGGGGCCTCTTGAGGCTTTCTTGACCATCTGTACGGCCCGCGTGGCCTGTCGTGGGCAATTTGGAAGCGGCCAGGGGCAGTCCCGCGGTGGCCTGTGACCCCCGAAAGGTTCCGGGGGGCGCTCATGGGGGATGACGGCACCAGCCCGGGCCCCCCCCGGCCTACTCCGACATACATACATACATACATATATACATATATATATACATATATATATATACACATACATAGCTACTTACACACATATATATAGATACATATATATGTATGTATATATATGGGGCCTCTCGGAGGCGTTCTGAAAGCTCGTGAGGGCATCTTGGGGCGGAAGGTTCTTCTTGTTCGTGTGCTCTCCCTCTCTTCGGAGCCGTCGTGGCGCTCTCCCGGACGGTCTTGGGCGCCTCGCGGCCCGTCCTGGCGACCCCCTCTGGGGGCGCCCGTGGGCCGACTGGAGCACTATTGCAGGCATCTTGGGCTGTGTCGGAGCGTCGGGAAGCAGGAGGAGGAGGAGGAGGAGGAGGAGGAAATGGAGGAAATGGAGGAGGAGGAGGAGGAGGAGGAGGAGGAGGAGGAAGAGGAGGAGGAGGAAGAGGAGGAGGAGGTGTGTCGGAGCGTCGGGAAGCAAAACTTTCCAACCGGAATTCAACGAGCTTCCCCTCCCCGGGCCTCCCCCAAGCCTGCCGTCTGGCGTGCGACGCGCGGCTTGGCTTGGGGATCTCTGGGGGGCCTCTCGGGGGCCTCTTGGGCAGTCGTGAGGGCATCTTTGGTCGGAAAATTCGACTTGTTCGTGTGTTTTCCCTCTCTTTGAAGCCGTCTCGGGGCTCTCCTGGGTTGTCTTGGGCGGGAGGCGGCCCGTCTTGGAGACTCCTTGGGCCGCCCGTGGGCTCTCTTGTGGGGTCTTTTGGGCTGTCTGGACGCAGTGTTGCGGACATCTTGGGCCGTCTTGGAACGTCGGGAAGCAGAAAAGTCGCATGGCCTGAAGATGTACGTTTCCCATCGGAGTTTTACGTGTTTCACCTCCCCGAGGCCTCTCCAAGCGGCCTTGTAGCGTGCGCCGGGCACGGAGACGGGGTTAAAGATACGTCTGTAAGCAGTACAAAACCGTTCTGACGCGTCTCGCGCACATCCGCTCACGTCCGCGCCCATCCATGAAGGGGCCCCAGAACACACAAATCTGGCGACCCTGTCGGCGTGTGGCGCTACCCGCCCTTTCCCTGATCCCTCCCCCTCCTCCTCAAGCGCGCCAACCAAAACGAAAATGAGGAACGTCGTAAATGCGTCGAAAAGAAGCCCCTTCCCTTTGATCCCTTCCCCGCCGGGGGGGGGGGGGTCACGGGGGGGGTCCCGGGAGGGGTCCCGGGGGGGGTCCCGGGGGGGGTCGCCACCCAGATACGCATCCCCCGCTTGCGGCTTTTAGAGAGGGGCCCTCTGTAGATGCGCTGGAGGAGGGGGGTCGCAACGACGGATCCACAAGAGCGCCCCTAGACGGCCCCAGCCCCACAAGACAGCCCAAGAACCCTTAAGGACGGCCAAAAGGAGCCCAAGAAGGCCCGGAGAAGCCTTCTTCTTCTCCTCCTCCTCCTCCTCCTCTTCCTCCTCCTCCTCCTCCTCCCCAACCTCCCCTGCTCCCCCTCCTCCTGCTCCTCCTCTGCCTCCTCCTCCTCCTCCTCCTCCTCCTCCTCCTCCTCCTCCTTCTCCTGCTCCTTCTCCTTATCCTCCCCCCCCCTCCTCGTCCCTCCTCATCCGCCTCCTCCACCCTCCACCCTTCCTCTTACCCCCCTCCTCCTCTCCTCCTCCTCCTCCTCCTCCTCCTCCTCCTTCTCCTCCTCCTGCGCCTCCTCCTCCTCCTGCGCCTCCAACCCCCCCACGCTCGTTTTCATCTTCGTCGTCTTCAGGGTCGGCGGCACCGGCCGTAAGGCCTTCGCAATAAATACACACAAATAAAAATGTTCCCCATATTTTCACATATGTTCTGGGTTTCTGTCTTCCCCCCACTTCCCATATTTTCCCATATTTTCTGGGAAATCGAAGATTCATTGTGTCTGTGTGTTTCTTTTCCTCCTGAATCCAGAGCCTCCCAGGGCCTGTTTCGGAACCGCGGGAGAATGCGGTAACGAAAACGTATCCCGGATATCTTGCCGGTGGGCCAGGGCCCTGCTGGGGGACCCAGGAATCCCGATATCATACACATATATCTGTATACATCTACTAGAAACATCGCGCGCGCTCAAGTTCTCGCTAGGGTCATGATCATCGTCATCATTGTCATCCTCATCCCCGTCATCTTCATCGTCATCGTCATGGTCACCGTCAATATCACCATCACAACAATCACCATTATCACCATTATCATCAGCAGCGTGATCACCATCGCCATCATCGTCATCGTTCTTTTCAGCCTCATCGTCCGCATCATCAACATATTGTTGCTCGTCGTCGGCGTCGTCGGCATAGTCATCGTCATCACCATCAGCGTCATCGCCGTCATCATCCCGGTCCACTGCAGTCCCCTTCCCCTCCGCCTCTTCCCGTTTTCCCTCTCCCCATCATCTTATACTCATCCTTTTCCTCGTCGGCGTCTCCCTGAAAGGGATCCCTGTTCCTCAACCTCCTCCGCCTCCTCCTCCACTTCCTCCCCCTTCTCCTCCTCCCTGTATTCCCCGCTCTTCGGTGTGTCCCTCCTTGTGTTCCTTGTGTTCCTCTTCCTCCTGCTCCTCCAAGTCGATACCAACGCGTGGCTGCCACAAGCCAGGTATCACTGGGGTACGTTTTCAGACACCCCTCCTCTTTCCTCTCTTCGTCATCCTTATCTTCCTCCCCCTCCTCCTCCTCCTCCTCCTCCTCCTTCTCCTCCTCCTGCTGCTCCTCCTGCTCCTCCTCCTCTCCTCCTCCTCCCTCCTCTCCTCCTCCTCCTCCTCCTCCTCCTCCTCCTCCGCCTCCGCCTCCTCCTCCTCCTCCTCTCCTCCTCCTCCTCCCTCCTCCTCCTCCTCCTCCCTCCTCCTCCTCCTCCTCCTCCTCCTCCTCCTCCTCCTCCTCCTCCTCCTCCTCCTCCTCCCCCTCCTGGTCCTCATCCTTCTCCCTTCTCTCAAAGCACCCAATACACGGATGCCTACTGGAACGCGTGCCGTGAGCCTTTTTGGAAGCATTGTGGCAGTCTCTGGGACCTCTCTGGGCCTTCCTTTGGACTCCTTTGGGGCCTTTGTTGGCCCGTCTTTTTTTTACAGATCGCTCAGCCTCGCCATCCTCTTTGCCGTCTCCTTCGGTTGCGCGGCGGGTCAGCCCCTCTGGCCATCGGGGTGGGGGCGCCGCGGGAGAGAGGTCGCCCCGCCGCTGTTCGCCGCGCCCGCACGAGCATCAGGCGAAGCTCGCCTCTGCAACGGAGAAGACGGTTGCGTTTCGAGCCGCCTCGGACGATACCTGAAGAAGGGAGTTGCGGTGAGCACAGGCCTCCGAAGGCTTCGTTGCCTCCGTGTGATCCTCTTCTCCTAGCAATCCTCCAACAGCAAACCCGGAATGCCCAAGATGCTTGACGTAGAAGTTCAGATACTGAGCCCCGTCCTCAGTGCGCCCATGGGCAACTTTCACCTGCACCTTCCCAAACTTCAGCCACTTCGGCTGATCATCATGCACACTCTGAGCTTGGAAACAGAGACCGCTCGTCCCTTTTGCCTCCACCCACTCCCCTGTGATATTCAGTTCTTGGAAATACATGTCTGCACATTGTCCGCCCATTTGGCGCGCATCGGCCTGCACGCGAAGCAATGCGTTCTTGTGCCTTCCACGAGGGATGTTGATCAGAACATGCTTGCCCGGTTTCATCAAATCGAACCTCTGACCAAGAACGTTCTGCAAATGGGGATCGCCGGTGGCAGCCACGGCACCGCCAGCCCCACCCGCCATGGGAGCTCCAACAGGAAACGTCGGATGTGGCGTCGGCCAACCCAGAGGATACGTCGGGCTGGGCGTCGGGCTGGGCGTCGGGAAGGCGGTCGGGTAGGGCGTCGGAGGCAGTGGGGTAGGCAGTGGGGTAGGCAGTGGGGTAGGCAGTCGGGTAGGGCGTCGGGTAGAGTGTCGGGTAGGGCGTCGGAAAGGCAGTGGGGTAGGCAGTGGGGTAGGCAGTCGGGTCGGGCGTCGGGTAGGGTGTCGGGTAGGGCGTCGGAAAGGCAGTGGGGTAGGCAGTGGGGTAGGCAGTGGGGTAGGCAGTCGGGTAGGGCGTCGGGTAGGGCGTCGCGGCGCTGCACGCCTGGATATTCGTGACATAGTGCCAGTTGGTAGCACCGCCCGTTCTTGCAGTGAAGGCCAGCTGCTGACTACCAACGGGCGACGCGTAGCCATTAATCGTAGCGGTCCTATAGTAGTAGCCGTTGTCGAAGTTCAGAATCACACTGGCACCGCTGCCGCTGGGCGTGACCTCCACAATGACGTCATGCCAAGTGGAGTCCTCGAAGAGGGGCACTTTGTGAGTCCAGTGGCCCGAACCTATCTGTTCAAAGATGGACCCTCCATTCCAACCCATCAACACGCCATGATCATCCCCGTTTGAATAGGAGTCGAAGCATACAGAGAAGCCACTGCCAGCAATGTCTTCGCCAAACTCGCCAGAGTCATAACCGCCGTACTTCATGCACATGCCGTCAGCGCCTGACCCACCGCCCATCCACATGTCGAAATTGATCCTGAATCCTCCCGAATTTGCCCACGTGTAGTATGCCCGCCCACGCTGGCTGCCCTGATTGTTTGTCAACACGATGGTACTGCCAGACAGATAAGAGTCGTACTGGTAGGTGAAACTGCTGGCTGCGATCGAGGAACAAGACCACGAACGATCTGTCTGCAAATGTCCCGTCGCGTTGCCACCGGCACCCGTCTGAAGAGAAACTGCGGTAGGTACGCTGTGGAGAAGTACCCCCACCAGCCACGCGGACCAGTGTGCCATGCGGACTGAATGGCAGAATTCGCTTGCGCGAAAACCGATATATACAAGGTGGGTGTGTGTTGTACGATCACGGACTGTACCACGATACAAGCCTTGAGCCAAAATGGCTACGGAGGGCCTTTGTTGGCCCGTCTGAGGGCTCATTTCGGCCGTTCCGGGTCCCTCTTGGCTCGTCGTGGGGGGCTCAGCCAATTTTTTTGTTTTGGGGGGGGGGCTCAGCCCGTCTTGGGGCCCTCCTGGGGCCCTCTCCGACCATGTAGGAATCCTCTGGTGGCCCCCTCGAGCTTCCTGGGGTCTCTCTTGGGCAGTCTTGTAGCTTCTGTGCCGCTTGAAGCTCTCTTCAGCCCATCTTGGAAACCTCTTTGGGGCCTCTGGGGCCCATTTTGGTAACCTCTTGGGCCGTCGCGACCGCTGGTAGAACTGAAAAGCGAAGCTCCCAGAAACATACGCTTTTCCATGGGAGGTGCTTGATTTTTGGCTCTGGAGGGCCTTCTCAGCGGCCTCTTGGACAGTCGTGGGGAGGTCCTTTTGGGCCTTTGTGGCCCGTCTGGGAGCCCATTTCGGCTGCCCCAAGCCCCTCTTGGCATGTCATGGGTAGCTGAGCCGTCTTGGGGCCCTCATGGAGCCCTCTCCGACCATGTACGGCTCCTCCAGTGGCTCCCTCGGGTCCCCTGGGGACTCTCTCAGGCTGTTTGGGAGCTCTCTTGCGCTGCTCGACGCTGGGCCGTATTGGAGCACTCTTGGGGGCCTCGTGGACCATGTGGCGCCGATTTGGGGAGCCTTTGGGGCAGACGCGGCCGCCAATGGAACACAAGAAACTGATATCATAGAAATGTACGTTTTCGATGGGAAATGCTTGTTTTTTGCATCCGGGAGCCTTCTCAGCGGCCTCCCGGACCGTCTTCAGGGAATCCTGGTAGGCCGTTTTGGGACCCTTTGGGAGCCCAGTTCGGCCGTTCCGGGTCCCTCTTCGCCCGTCTTCGCCCGTCATGGGGGCCTGAGCCCGTCTTGGGGCCCTCGGTGGGCCCTCTCCGACCATGTAGGGATCCTCCGGTGGCCCCTTCGGGGTTCCTTGGTACTCTCTTGGGCCGTGTTGGGGCTCTCTTGTGCTGCTTGAGGCTCTCTTCGGGCCGTCTTGGGGCCCTCTTGGGAGCCTCTTGGGCCGTGCGGGGCTCATTTTAGGAGCCTCTGGGGCCGTCGCCGCGGCTGGTAGGACTGAAAAGCAAATCCCAAGAAATATACGTTTTCACACAGAAAATGCTTGATTGTTGCCCTTCGAAGGGCCTTCTCGGCGGCCTCTTGGACCGTCTTGAATGCCTTTGTGGCCGTCTAGTCTAGAAGCAGTCGTGGGCTCTCTTCGAGCGCTCGTGGCCCGTCCAGAAGCCATCTCAATGCGCTCTTCAGCCACCTTCCAGACAACCTGGAGCGCTTTGGGCGCCTCTTGGGCCAGCTTGGGAGCGTCTGGGGGGGTTTGGGGCCCCTTCTGAATCCTCTTGGAGCCCTCAAAGTCCCACCGGCCCCCCATACGAACCAGAGGTAACAGTTCTGGGCCCTCCCCCGGCCTACTCCGAACAATATATATATATATATATATATACATACATACATACATACATACATACATACCTACACACCTACATACCTACATACATACACATATACATACATACATACGTACATACATACATAAACACATATATGTATATGTGTGTGTGTGTGTTCGGAAATTTGCCGATCGAACCAACGGCGACCCTCCCTGGCGTTTGTCGTCGTTGCTGGGGTTCCAAAAATTTGTTCGTCGTCACGGGCAAATCTGTTTCGGAAAGGTATCCAAATGGACCGTTGGAGACGGCCGGGGATCGATCTTGAAGAACGCGATGATGACTCGGTGCGGCATTGGCGCAACCTGACCCAAACTAGAGGGCGAACCGCGGTCTACAATTTGATTTTCTGGCCGTATGGACCGCTCGGCCCTGGGCGCCTGGAAACTTCATACACCTACGTGCCGCGGTGGGGCTCGCATTTCAAAGCCGCCACGAATACCAAGTATAGCCTCGTAGACGTTCTTGGCGCTTGCCGAACACACACAGGAAAAACACAAACATGTGATACAGCATGCAGCCGCAAAGGCAACGCTTTAGAACCAATGGCAAGACAGGGTTCTGGGCGTGTCGGAAAAATGCCGGAAGATAAAGGGTGCTTGGCGGTTCGCCGCAAGCATTGCTCAGTGGTTTTTCCAAGCCGGCACTTCCACCCGACCCTGAGATCTGACGTTGCGAAGTTTGACATGGGTCGGGAGGCCCAACCAGCAGCTTCGCCTTAGGCGAAACCCAACTCCCGCTCTGATGTACCGTAGTAGCGATAGTCCCAGTAGCATGGGGCGAGCCATCTCAAGCAATTGTGGTACCGACGGCAAATAGCACACCTCGCGCTGAGGTGTGGTCAGATCTGGGCGGCCGGCCGCTTTGAGCCAAGCAGCCGCGGATGCACGCTCGTTCCCACTCACATGCAAGGCCCAGCTCACTTTAGAGTCGGGGGGGGAGGGAGACGAGGCGGGAACCCGCCGCCTCTATACAGCAGGCACAGCAGCGACTATTTACAAAAAAGGCAGCAAAAGGGCGGGACCGTAAGGAAGGTGGACCCGCACGCAAGTTGCCTTGCCTGCGCTATACTGTGCATACGGATACTCCTCAAGCGGCTACAGAACAAGATGTTTGGCCAGCCCGATAGGGAGTATGACGTTTTAAGTCATGTTTGAAGGATCGTGTAGCTCCCATGGCCTGTAAGAGCATGTCTATATCGATGCTCCCCTTGGTGTGACCGTCCGCAGTCATATCGCGGGTGTCGCAGCACTGAATACTGTGCACGATTCCTCGCTCCATCATCTGTCGTGTCCAGCTGCTGTGTCCTAAAAGAGTACAGTCAGTCGGCTTCTTGCAGTCTCTGCTTGGCAAGGACTTAAACACAGACTCAGCATCTATGGTCAAAGTGACCTTGGTGCTCAGGCCACCCAACTCAAGTGTGTCTTTCAACTGAGTGGGCGTTAGCGGCACTGCGTGGAGCTCGCGCAAAATCACGATCGCGGTGTAACAGTCCTCCAAGTTGCGGGCAGCGGATATTTCTCAGCTGAATAGCTCGAGCGGACCTGCAAGCGGTGAGACTTGCAGTAGGCAGCGATCAAGTGAACGACGGGCCTGCCAGATGGCGTGCTTCCACGCCGTAGCAGGTTTGCCCCGCGAATACCATAGCCTTTGACTTTGTCATCGGCGTCTCCAATCAGGCGCCGGTAACCTGAGTCGCTGTGCAAGCCAACCTCGCCCGTAGGGGTCATCGCCTGGTAGACTATCTTCATAGGGCAGGCCTGCATTTCCCTGGTAATCGCGCTCAGTCGTCGCGCTTGTATAGCGGTCGGTTCTTGGATGCGCTGTAGAGATACATCATGCACCATTAACCACACCTGGGTGATTAATGCATACGCCAGTGCGCCTCTTTGGCTGACGAACATGTCTGCAACCATCTTGGATGCCTGAGCAACGGCGTCGGCGCCGGTAAGTTCAGGATGTTGTATAGGACGGAGCTGCTCGATGTATTCGTCTTGGTCCACAGTAACACTGCCGTCCTCATCCTTGGTGTATATCACGGCACAATTGGTGCATGGGTGCTTGTTGAGTTAACACTTGCCAAAGATGTCTCGACACACTTGTCAATGGTGCCGTCAGCGCCGGCCATATTGATATCATCAACATGTTTAGCAGTAAGCAGGTCACTGCTCGTCTCGAACTCCTCGTCGTAGGACGTGGGTCTGAAGCCGCAACCTCTCACGGTCCCTCTGGGCTCTAGCGAGAAAGCTCGGGGTGCGTCATTGGTGCCAGCGCCTGGCATCAGGCGCTGCAAGCAGTGCTTTGACTCGGCGCAATGTTCGAATCCTGGGAGAGTTCGAAGCACCGTGGCCGATCCAGGCGGCAAAGTAAAACGCACCATGCGTTCCTTTTCGCAGCTACCTCAGCAAATTCCTGGTAGGCCAACCCGTCCAGGAAGGCCATGTTGATGTCGAAAGAGACAATGATCCATTGCTTCTTGCACGCTGAAGCGCTCGCGAGTAGTCTCTGGCTTGGCCGCCGCGCTGCTCCCGACAAGGCTTCCACGTCAAAGGCTTCAGGATCCACGAAGCCTCGAAGCACCAAACAGAATATGATGGCACGTTCCATGTCGCCCTTCTCGTTCTTCACCAGCTTCGATGTGTACACGTACCTCGAAGTCCTGATGTTTGACGCTTTAGATATGTCTTGCATTTAAAGCACTTGGTGTCAAACCATGTCTTCAATTCAGTGCACAGGGCTTTCGGTCCTTTCTCGTGATTCGCCTGGATGACAGCCTTCGCGAAGAGGTCGTCTTCCTTGACGGCCGCAGCTCACTTTGCAGCGGCGGCGACATATACTCGCACGGTGGTCACGCGGTCGGCACCTAATATCCTGAACTGTTGTTCGGACAGGACTACCTTTGACATTTCTGCCGTGAAGCAGAATTCTAATGATTGCCCATTTTCGTGTGAGTCCAATCCGAAATTCCACTCTTCGGCCGTGGAGCACAAAAGGACATGATACGTCTCCTCGATGTCGGAGTCGTGTGGGTGCCCCCACGTAGACAAGTGTCCCCGAGGTTCTTCAGCTACAGTGATCAGCGCGCTACTGTCTGGAATCTTCTGCGTGGGTACTGTGAAAAGACCCGAGTGGAATTGCCTCCGGTAATTCCCTTTTCATCTTGCATTTTGTATACCACGCCTCCATGACGTGTGCCTCGAGGTCAGCCTCCGATTCCTCATAAAGCGTGGGAGCCCGTCCATCCTCCGGTGGCGGTTCGGCTTCTGAGGCTTCTCTTGCAGTTCCATCCGGCGTCGATTCATCCGCCAATTCCTCAATTCTTTGTCATATCCTGGTCAAAGCCCGCGTGAGGTTTGGTGGGCTTCAGGCACTGAATGACTCTAGAATGTGCTGATCCAGGTATATCGTGAATGTTACGGGCGGCGCCTTCTGCTTCATAAAAATGAAATCCTGGAGTCGCATCGTTGTCATTGTGGACCAATGCGCAACTGTCAGCGTAAGCAACTGGCGGTAGCTCATGGATACTTCTGGCTAACCTGACCGAAACTACGTTCTCAATGCGGCAGACGATTCTGATAAGGTGTTGTAAAGCCAGATGTACCTGGGGAGATAGTCGGCTTGCAATTGTCACCTGAGGCATCCCCTTCTTGTTCGGGACATAGCCAAATGTCATAGCAGGTCTCCACGCTGGTAAACTGGCCAAGAACGTCAACACTGTTTGCAACGCAGTGCTGTCGGAGCCACTTCCTCTGGATATCAAAGCTTCAATATAGAGTGAATGTCGTGCATCGCCGCATTGTACCTGAACGTCGCGGTTTCCCACTCGAACGATGACATGACCCCTCTCGGGGTCGTTTCTTACGACTGTGAATGGGCCATTCCAGCCTTCCCAGTCGTCCTTCGTGGTTGTGGGGCGATGGTAGCCAACTAAATCACCTTCATCGTAGTAATGCTGACCGGTGACACTTGTCTTAGTGCGTAATGCACGATTGGTCTTGGCTGCTGCAGTGGCCTGCGTGATAGCTTCGACGCGTGCTTTGCGCATCATCTGTTCACCGGAATGATCCGACGTTTCCGTCGGCTGTTCGTGCTCCGGGATGGGCAAGACAAGGAGCGTTGTCGGTTGCCGTCCAAACCGGGCGTTGCATGGAGACACCTCATTATAGAAGGTGAACGCGTTGGCGGCAAACAAGGCCTCATGCAGTAGTCGCGCGACTACAAGAGGTATGTCTAGCCTGTTGAGTGCAGCCTCGATGACATGAAGTATATGGCGCAATATGCCATTTCTGGCTTCGATCGTCGTAGCGCGTTGTCCACGCGCACGCGTCCTCAGTTCAGTGCCCTTTGCCTTAAGCGCTGCTCTCGTAGTGTCGTTGTCGAGGGCCCCCTCTCCATCGGAGTAGAGTACCTTTGCAAGTCCAAACTGCATCCAGCACTGATGGTATGCATCCAGGATGCTGGTGATCGCCTTGTCTGTTATCTCCATTCCAGTAGCACGTCGCATGCAACGATATATGCCATGAAATATTGGATGTTCTTGTTTGTAGAACATAATGTCACATTCAACTTTTCGTTGACCTTGCCAGGCAGCGCAGTAGATGGCATGACCACGTGCCCAGGGCTGTCCCAAGCTCTGCGCTCCCGACTTGTGTCGCAGACACCTTTAATCAGGTTGAGTCTGAAGTTGTCCAGACCTGTCTTGGTTAAGATGTGTCTCATCTTAGGCTCTTTCCCATCGAACCAACGAAATAGCTTCCGAAACTCGCGTGTTACCACGCTTGGGTCAAGGCTTCGTAAGACTTGAAGACTGATTTGTACGTCGAACCTTGACCCGTCCATAAATCGTGGTCGCGCAGCAGGGTTACCCGCTGGTGGCGGTGGAGGTGGATCTCCTCCTTGCTGTCGGCCACGTCTGACTCTGACCTGTGGCAGTCGGATGTGGCCATCCGAGCTCCCAGCTCCAGTCGAGGCAGGCTGCCCTGCAACAGGTTCAACAGCATGTCTGCCTGCTGTAATGTCGTGGCTGCTGGCGCCCAGGTCGCGGTGCTGGTAGCCGCACAAGTGGCGTTGCGGCTTGCGCCTCGGGCGGTGGTTCTGCTGGTTCGGCAGAAGCCGGCGGTGCCTGTCCGTGATTGTCACGCAGCTTCCAAGGTTTGGCAAACTTGCATTTGCCAGGTGCCCGTGCACGCCCAGGCTTGTTCTGGCCGTAGTTCTTCTTGCAGCTCAGAACTTTCCCATGCTAGTCTTCCTTATCGTACCACCTGCAATGCTTGGGCTTTCTGTCGTGTGTGAGAGAAAGAGAGAGAGAGAGAGAGAGAAAGAGAGAGAGAGAGAGAGAAAGCGCATGTTAACATCATCCGCGTACGCAGGATATCCTAGCCCGCCCGAGTGCGGTCTCGCGATCGAACCGCCGGGCTGCCGAGGGATAGTTGGACCGTCCAAATCATACCCCATCACGTTGGTGACTAGCACGGTGGAAGAAAAAGGGTGACCATGAAAGGGATCGCGGTTTACCTGGAAAAGATCGCGCGCGATCTGAACCGCGTCGACAACAAGAGACTGCATCTTCGGAGTATAATGTGCTAACATGGACAGTTCCCTGTTGCATGCCGACGCATGTTGATGATGACCAGCACATCGGCTCGTTCAAAAGGTGTAAGTAGAATGCGGTGCTTGGCCATGATATCGGTCGGTTTTCGCGCCCATACCCCATGGGGGTCGCGTGAGCCGGTCGTGCGCTGATCCATATTCCCCCCGCAGGTGCCTGTGCACTTGGCCAGTGTACTCCAAGGTGGTATCTGATCCACCCATGTACCCACGGGTTGTTCTGGTAAATAAAACCGTCGAAGATCGCCCTGAACCTTACCACAAAACTTGATGTGTGGAAGATCACCTTTGTGGTGCTCATGCAAAGTATCAGAACTGACGCGGGAATTGAAATCCGCCGGCCCCCTTGTGGGGCCACCAGGCTGTAGGCGCGTGATTCGCGGTTTCCTGTTCCAGCTCTAGTTTCTAGTTTCCAGTGTTACAGTTCTGCTTCTTGCTGGTTGCTGTAACTAGTTGACTTCTTGCCGGATACTGTAACTAGTTGATTGACCGCGCGAGGGGGGGGGAGGCCCAAACTGGATTTTCCAGCGTCCCCTGGGCGCGTTGTCTGAATTGCTGGGGGGGCTCGAAATCGACACCCCTCGCGCAGATCCGCGGGGTCAGGGTCCAAAAACACAAGGGATTTGCCTCATTTCTGAAATTCTGTGCCACCCCTCACGCAGATCCGCACGGTCAGGGTCCAAAAACACATGGGATTTGCCACATTTCTAAAATTCGGTGCCACCCCTCGCGCAGATCCTCGGGGTCAGGGTCCAAAAACACAAGGGATTTGCCACATTTCTGAAATTCGGTGCCACCCCTCATGCAGATCTGCGGGGTCAGGGTCCAAAAACACATGGGATTTGCCACATTTCTAAAATTCGGTGCCACCCCTCACGCAGATCCGCGGGGTCAGGGTCCAAAAACACAAGGGATTTGCCTCATTTCTAAAGTTCGGTGCCACCCCTCACGCAGATCCGCGGGGTCAGGGTCCAAAAACACAGGGATTTGCCACATTTCTGAAATTCGGTGCCACCCCTCACGCAGATCCGCGGGGTCAGGGTCCAAAAACACAAACATTTCTAAATTCGGTGCCACCCCTCACGCAGATCCGCGGGGTCAGGGTCCAAAAACACTGCCACATTTCTGAAATTCGGTGCCACCCCTCACGCAGATCCGCGGGGTCAGGGTCCAAAAACACATGGGATTTGCCACATTTCTGAAATTCGGTGCCACCCCTCACGCAGATCCGCGGGGTCAGGGTCCAAAAACACATGGGATTTGCCACATTTCTGAAATTCGGTGCCACCCCTCACGCAGATCCGCGGGGTCAGGGTCCAAAAACACATGGGATTTGCCACATTTCTGAAATTCGGTGCCACCCCTCACGCAGATCCGCGGGGTCAGGGTCCAAAAACACAAGGGATTTGCCACATTTCTGAAATTCGGTGCCACCCCTCACGCAGATCTGCGGGGTCAGGGTCCAAAAACACATGGGATTTGCCACATTTCTAAAATTCGGTGCCACCCCTCATGCAGATCCGCGGGGTCAGGGTCCAAAAACACATGGGATTTGCACATTTCTGAAATTCGGTGCCACCCCTCACGCAGATCTGCGGGGTCAGGGTCAAAAAACACATGGGATTTGCCACATTTCTGAAATTCTAACCCATCACGCACATCCATCGCAAGGCGTGGCAACCCAAACTGCGAGAACTCCCTCGGCCCTTTCATCGCAAGGTGTGGTAATCAAGCCCTTAAACCATACACGTCTTACCAATCGCCAGGTGTGGTAACCCCTCTTGTGATCAGTTGGTTTTGCTGATTGCGACTCGGCTTTGTCGATCCTGATCCTCTGGACCCCCCAGGGGCACAACGGTCTGGCAGGAGGATCATGGGGAGCATCGGGGTAAACTGACAACGTAAGTCAATACAGCGCCGAGAAGAAAATTACGAAACCACGCCCTGGGACTGAAAGCCACTCGGACTGTCCGGGCAGGGTCGCCAGGGTGCAGATGCACGCCCCGCTGGATGCGGGCAAGGTTCTGCCTGCACCTGGCGATGACCTCACAAGGCTGCGCTAAAGAGGAGGGGACGAGAAAGGAGGACGCAAACGAGCATTGAGCAGGGACCGACCGTCCAGGCATTCCTATAATCCTACCACGAGATGTTATTAGAACCCAAATATATTCTAAGAACAAAACAATGTTCTTAGAACGTAAACCCGACTAGATAAAACAAGACAGTCCCAGTCAGAAATGTTCTACGAACATGTCGTGGAAGCCACAGAAGGTTCTTAGAACATTCTTTGGTAGACATATATTAACGGGAGAAGAACGGTATAAAATAAACTTGTTCGTTGTCGGGGGCGCCTGTCCCAGGGCGGCTGGAAAATTTATACCCTTACGGTGGCACCGTAGGGGTATAAACTTTCCAGCCGCCCAGGGATAGGCGCCCCCGACAGCGAAAAAGTTTATTTTATACCGTTCTTTGCTCGCTGAATATAGGCACGCCAGGACGCTTCGCCACTGCTTGTAAAGAGGAGACGGGGAAGGAGGACGCAAACGAACAGCAGGCAGGCAGCGCGCGCTGGAGCCTCCACGCTCTGCTGCAGCACCCTCCGCACCGAGCTCCGCGCCGGCGCGTCGGCGGACCTCCCCACTGTCTGGCCACCGCCAGCAGGTGGTCGGGCGGAGGAGGAGGAGGAGGACGACGAGGACGAGGAGGGGGAGGAAGGGGAGGAGGGGAGGGGGAGGAGGAGGGGAGGAGGAGGAGGAGGTGGAAGGGGAGGAGGGGGAGGTCGAGGAGGAGGGGGAGACGACGAGGAGGAGGAGGAGGAGGAGGGGGAGGGGGAGGGGGAGGGGGAGGGGGAGGAGGAGGAGGGGGAGGAGGGGGAGGAGGGAGGAGGAGGAGGAGGAGGAGGAGGAGGAGGAGGAGGAGGAGGAGGAGAGGAGGAGGAGGAGGAGGGGGGGAGGAGGAGGGGAGGAGGAGGAGGAGGAGGAGGGAGGAGAGAGGAGGAGGAGGAAGAGGAGGAGGAGGAATGGGAGGAGGGGGAGAAGGAGGTGGAGGAGAGGGAGGAGGAGGAGGAGGAGGAGGAGGAGGAGGAGCAGGACGGTCGCCTAATAAGGATGCGCGGTGAGGGTGCACGGTCCTTGGAGGGCCGTGTTGGCGCTTCCAAGCGGGGCCGGCCAGCAAAGGTGGCCCGGCATGGGCAGGAGGGGGCAGGGGCGCCAGGGCACTTGGGAAGTCCGTGCGCTCTGACTGTACCCTCCGCCCCCTCCTCCGCACGGCGCGCGCCCAGCAAAAGTGGCCCAGCACAGGCAGAAGGGGCAGGGGCGCCAGGGCACTCGGGGAAGTCGATGCGCCCTGACTGTACCCTCCGCCCCCTCCTCCACATGGCGCGCGCTCCGAGTCACAGGGCCTGCTCTTGAAAGCGGAGGGACGGAGCGCACGAAACCTGCTTCTCTAGGCCATGCCTCAGGCCTGTCTTATCTGGCCAGGCCTTCAGACTCGGAGGAAGGCCAGCAACTTCTTAGCCTAGTGCCCAACTTTGTGGTGGTGTGCCACCAACACACAGCATAACACTTAGACCCTCCCTTCTCGATCACGCTGCGCGAGGTCTTCTGCGGTACCTGCTCAGCGTTCGTGCCTTGGAAACCCGACTGCGGGCGCCGCGAACAGCGTGGGAGGTTGCCAAAAAGAGGGAGGGGTTCTGAGGCACCTAGGGAGGTTGCTCACAGGGTTATCTCTAGGAAGCGGCTTTGCAAACGGATTGTACGGATTTCGAAAGTATGAGCAGCAGCAATTTGCGGGGTGACATGATGAAGCAGAGTGACGAGACGGGCTCCATCCCTAGCACACTCATCCACTGCATGAGTCACGGTAAGTTTTTCGTGTGTCACGTGTGCTCCAAAATCTCACTCCCAGAAGGGCTGTACTTTTGTAAAGGGCACTCGCCTGAGTAGCCTTCGTAGGCTTCCCAGAAGTCAAGCCAAACCGCTGAAGTGTGGTCGTGCTTTCAATAGGGGCCATACCGACTTCTGTTAACAACACCCTGACCGTCGAGCACAAGTGGCATTCACCATTGGTGTGCTTGACCGAGCTCGGGGGCACCAAATCAGATCGCCAGCTTGAGAAGCAAGGACCACTCCTGGCATTCGCGCCCGCCTGTGACGCCGAATCTAGCTTGCAACAGAAATGCCACTGTGCCGCCAAGCGGGCGCTGGCGGTTTGGTAGTCGCTGGAATTTGTTTGTTTATGACTTCGCAGGAAGGCCGCCCCGTACCAACACGATGTTATGGAGCACCGCCCGAGTTGATCAGGCTATTCTCAGGGCCCCCACACTTCATAGCACGTGGGGAGAGAGAGTGAGACGAGAGTTGTGTTGCTCCCATCGTGCTCACAAACCACATCCCAGAAATAAGTTCGAGCACCCGGAAAAGTGTCACAAGAGTGTCGGAACAGTGTCGGGCGAGGGTCTCCCAGGGCCCGACACGTGAACACCCTCGTGCTTCGGTACTGTTCTGGTGCTCGACGCTCTTTCTGGTGGTCAAGGCTAAGGTAGGTTGGAGCATCCATCATATGACGGGAGGAGCAGACGGAGGAGGGGGAGGGAGGGGCGGAGCAATCGGATCTGCTAGCATCCCCCGCGGCACCCGTCGGCATACACCCCACGAGTTGGGCAGGCCCGCGAGGGGGTTCGAGCGAACACCTCGCCCGCCTGCTGGGTTGGAGGGCGGCCGACCAAACCACCAGGAAGGGCAATGCAAACACCAACCGAATGTAAGGGCACAGCCGCCACCGGCCGGCTGGTGGACCCCCAGTGGCCAGGCGCCCATCCCACTCGATGCCAAGCGGCAAGGCCGGGGCAGATGTGAATCAGGGGCGTGCACGCCCGACCCGTTGGCAGCCACGCCGGGCCCGTCCGCTCCAAGGATGCGCAAAAACTTGCGTGCAGTGCGCAACGCCTTTTTCATCCGCTCGCTTGCGTGGGCTTCGACGACCCAGGAGGGGCTGGTAAGCAGGGAGGGAGAAGCCGTCGCCAAACCAGGGGCCGACTTCCACGGCCACACATCCCATCTTGGGATGCTCGTCGACGCAAGTGGCATTCCAGGCACTCTGCGCCCCACCACTGCACCGTCGCAGAGCTTCCAACAAATTACGAGGGTGCCGAGACCAGTGTGGGAATCTCCTGGACCCCCCCTAGAACTGGTCGAACAAAAACCCGAGTTGGGTTTTGTGTCGGGAGGTTTCCCGAGCCCGACACTTAAAAACAGTATTTTTTCCTGGAGAAGCACAAGAAAGAACACCCGACAACCCACCGAATAACCACAAAAAAACACCAACAAACCCCTCATTGGGTTTTTGTTTCGCTGGTTGTTCGGGGGGGGGTCCCAAAAGAGATCGTGCAAACCTTTTCAAATCGCAATTCCGGTCCCCCCCCCCCTGGAACAGCCCAACTCGGAAAGTTGTCCTGGTGTTTTTCGGGAAAGCCCCAAAAACAACTCGAGGGTTTTCAAATGTGTTTTTTTTTCTGAGGTGCCCCGGACGGGGAACACCTGAAACAAAAATCCCAACTCGGGAGTTTTCTGCAATTTTTCAAAACTCTTTCTGGTGTTTTCCCGGAAGGGGACCCCCCAACAAAAAAACAAACTCGGAGTTTTTGTCGGTGGTTGTTCTAGGGTTTTCCCAGGAGAGGGGGATCCCCGAAAAAGCACCAGAAAAAAAACCGAACCTGGTGGTTTGTCTGATGTTTTTCGTGGTTTCCCTGGGGTGGGGAACCCCCTAACAGAAACCCCAACTCGGGATTTTTTGGTGTGGTCTCGGTGGTTTTCCTGGGGTGGGGGGGAATCCAGAAAAAATAACAAAACTCTAAGATTTTTCTGTTTTTTTTTGGGCGCTCCGGGGGCCCACAATAACAAACAACAGTACTATTTCAGAACACCCCACGAGGAATCTCCGAGCAACTCTCCAACTCTGATATTTGATTTTTCTTCCGGGTATTTCTCCGGGGGGATCTTCGAACAACAACCAGAGACTCTGGGCTTATGTTTTGCGTTTTTCTTGAATTTTCCAGGGGGGGGGGGCAACCCCCGAAGCACCCCCCAACTCGGATGTTCTTCCGTTGTCTTTTGGTGGTCTTCCCGGCGGGGGGGGCCCCCGAAGAACCCCGACTCCGGGAGACGGGGCTGGCCCGAGAACTCCGGAAAAACCACCGAGCGCTCCCCCTCAGCTGGGATGTTTTGGGGTACTCCCGCCGCCCCCCCCAGGAGAATCCTGGAGCCTGGGCTGGTCAGAAAACCCAGCAGGGCACCCGCCCCTCCCCGAAAAAAAATCCAGCAGCTCGGGCCGACCGGAGCACACCCGGAAACCGCGCGCCCCCTCCTCGAGCAGGCGGCTCCAGGCGACGTGGCCCGACTTCTGCTGGCTCCGCTCTGCTTGCCGCCGACTTCGCGGCGCAACAGCGAGCGCCCAAGAGGAAGCTGATGCCCTACATGCCGCCACGCTGGTTCCGACCGAAAACTCTCCGAGCTTGGTTTTTGTCCTTCGTGTTTTCCCCCTTCGGAGTATCCTGGAGCCTGGGCTGGCCAGAGAACCTCCGAAACAAAAAGAAAAGAACAACCATCGAGTTTGGATGTTGTTTCGGATGTGTTCTGAGAGGTTGTTATGAGGAGTATGTATTTGTTTAGGAGGAAAGAAGAAATACAAACAACAACAAAAACAAAGAAAACAACGTTTTCCGGGGGGCGCAAAAATAATCTGGTTTGAACTGTAGGGCCCCAGAATTCCCGAAAAACACCAGAATTGGAGGATTATTCCGGAGTTTTGGCCCCCGAGTTTTGTTTTCTCTGCAGTTGGTCCCCCTGGATACGGGGGGGGGAGATTAGGGTGTTCGGCGGGAAATTGCGAAACCCAACGTTTACAAACAACCGTATTTCTAAACCAACCGAAAACCGTAGAAACGGACACCGGCAAATCATATCAAACAGAAACCCCGGGTGGAAGGTTTTTGTTTCGTCTGGGGTGCCCAGGAGAGTCCGAAAATAGCCTCGAGTTTAGGCATGGGCCTCTCGACCCCCTGACAAAAACACAAAAAAAAGTCGGCAAGTCACTCGGTGGTTTCCGGTGGGGGTTTCTGATGTAGTCTTGATTTTAAGTGTGGGGCCCCCGAACCCCCGAGAAAGACACAACAAACAATTCCAGTGGGATAGTCACTCGGTGGTTTCCTGTTGGGCTTTCTGAACTAATCTTGATTTTAAGTATGGGGCCCCAGAACCCCGAGAAAAAAGTGGAAAAAACCGAAGTGGGCTTGTTTTCGGGGGCTCCAAAACTCAGAAAAAAAAACACTGGAAACACACAGAGTTGAGAGGTTTTCCGAAGGGTCATCTGGATTTTGTGTTTTCAATTGTGGGGCCTGAAAACCATAGGCAAAACACACAGAAACAAAACAACAACAAAAACAAACAACGATAACAATTCCAAAGAACAAACCCGAGTTGGGAGATGTTTATGGAATTCCCCCTTCGGGAAGCCACCCGAGTTTGTTTGTTTGTTTCTGCGGGTTCTCTGAAACAGTACAGTTTCTAAATGTGGGGCCCCAGAACCACCGAAGAACCACCAAAAAACACACGTTGGGTTGTTTGTGTTTTCTCCGCGGAAAACACTAGAACACAACAAAAAAAAACAAACAACAAAACACATATAGAACAACCCGTGAAACAACCCCGACAAACACCCGAGTTGGAAGGGTTTTCGATGGGTTCCCGGGGGGGTCTGAAATGATATTGTTTTTCATTGTGTGGCTCAGAACCGCCGAACTAATATTATATATAAGAAAGAACATTTTTTTCTGCGAAGCCTCCTCCCTTCCGGGAAATCTAAAAAAATGAGTTAGAAAAGCATCAGAATTATAAGGTTTTTCGATGGTCCCCTCTCAGGAAAACAACATCGCAAAACCATTGAAAAACTCTCGAGTTGCGAGGTTTTTTTATGAAATGGTATCGTTTAAGATGGTGGGGCTCCAAAGCGCCCGAAAAACTACGGGGAAAAAGCACGAGTTGGAGGATGTTTCTGGGTTTTCCTCACCCGGGAAAACTCAAGAAACAAATTAGGAAAACCACCGGAAAACTCTTGAATCACCCCCGAGGTGGGCGGTTTTTCGGAGGTATTCCAACGAGTTGTCCGAAATAATCTTCTTTGGAAGTTGCGCCCCCCCAGAACCCCCGAAAAACCATAGAAACAAGCCCGAGTTGGGTGTTTCTTTCGGGGGGTCCCCCCTCCTAGGAAAGCACGCGAACAAACAACAGAAAAAACCCAAAGGTGTTGTTTTTCTGGGGGGGGTCTGAAGCTTCTCCCCCAGGATAACTACAAAAAACAAACAAATTAAGCAACAGAAAAACGCTGAACATAAAACACCGAAGCGGGGTGTTTCTCGCAGGTGTCCCGGCGGATGTTCTGAAATTTCATTGTTTCACAATGTGGGGCCCCAGAACCTCCGAAAAACCAACGAAAACCATACGAGTTGGTAGCTTTTTCGGAGGTTCCAGAAAATCCAAAAAGAAAAGCCGACGAACAAAAACCCGAGTTGGGAGGTTCTTCGGTGGTTACCCCTGGGAAAATACTGAAACACACGCCCCCAAAACACAAAACAAAACAACAGAAATACCATGGGGTTGGGGTGTTTTTCGGGGGGGTCCCTGGGGATTTCGTTTTATTTTTAATTGTTGAGGTTCCCCCTCCGAAACACACGCAAGAACTGTTAAAGAAAAACACCTAACTCTTACAAACGCATATCTGTATTTGTGAATGTATATATATATATATATGTGTATATGTGCATACAACTGTATGTGTACATACACATATATATACATGTGTGTGAATATATATATATATATATATATATATAGCACGGAAAACTGAAGAAACACGCTAGACATACCACTGACAAACGACAGAACAAACAACTCCAAATGAGGGGTTCCTGGGGGGGGTCTGAAATCGGTTTGTTTTTAAGTCTGCCCCCCTCCCCCGAAAAACCAAAAGAAAAAACGCTGTGTTGTTTTTTTTGTTCGGAGGTCCCCTCCGAAAACACAGAAAAATCAGAGTAGGAGTGTTTTCGGTAGTTTCCTCATGGGAAAACCTCAGAAACATCAGTATGAAAAACCACCGACGAACCCCCGAGGTGTGGTGTTTTTCGAGGGTGTCCTGGAAGTTTCCTGAAATTTGATCCCGGAAAACGCACGAAACACAATCGAATTGGTGGGTTCTTCGAGGTTCCCCCCTCCCCCCCGGAAAACGAAAGAAACAACAACAAATGTTTGTTTTTTCGGAGGTCCCCCTCGCCCCGAGAAAACAATAGAAAAACTATAGAAAAACCGTAGAACAACAAAAAAACGAGAAACCACCGAAACACTCCCCAGTGGGAGGTTCCCGGGGGGGTTCGACGAACTGCCACACCCAACTGAGGGTACCCATGCCCCGAGCAAGCTGCGCACCTCAAACAGACGACCAACGCAGCCCCGTCAGAGCGCGCCCGGAGGGCGATGCAAGTGTGCCCGGGGGGCGTCCGTCCAGCTTCTCGGGGGCAAGCGTGGGGTGCCCAGTGCATTGACCAGGGCTTGGTGGGCCCATGCCACCCAAGAGCGACGCATCGAAATCCCTACGAGGCACTCCCTTGGCGACTCTCAGGCAATCGATGCACTGCCAGAAAGAGGCTACTTGCGTCCACTGGTGGCCAGGCCCGACAGGTGCACAGGGGCGAGGAGCAGCAATCGCGAGAGGACCATCAGTAAGGTTCAGACAAGGCCTTACTGGCATGAGTTCACCAGCGAGGCGCGTGCCGCTGTGGAAATCTTAAGGCACCGATCGAGCCAGACAACATCGGCTGGGTCGGGCTGGAGGCTGGGGGTCTGGCCAGAATATGTTTGGCCGCGTGGTGGGCTAGACCATCACCGAGCTGAAACCGCAATCGCTATCGAGTCAAGTATCCTGACTCTTCCACGTGCCGTCAACAAGCTACACGTGTGTGGACGAAAGGAACCCAGAGTGCGCACGCTTGTAAGAGAGAGAGCCCGCATCATCAGCTCATAAGCATGGACCGCATCATTCTCACAATCAGAAAAATTGGAACTGCCTCGCGAGGCCAGCATGGCGGCTACGGCGCAAGCCCCGAAACCACCACCCAGAGCAGTCTGCAGGGGGGGGGGGGGGCGGCAAAAGTGGGGCCCTGATGGGATGAGGGGGAAGAGGAGGAGGCGGAAGGGGGGGGCGAAGAAGAAGAAGAAGATCCTGTCCTCATCTCTTGCCCTCCCACGCCTCTCTGACCCCCCCCCCGGGGCCAAGGATCAAGCGCGCTGCCTGCCGTGGAGAGGTCGCGGGAAGGACCGTCTGCGTCCACCTCGGCGAGATCGGAGCGGGGAGGCCACCTCATCATCATCATCATCATCATCATCATCATCATCATCATCATCATCATCATCATCATCATCATCATCATCATCATCATCATCATCATCATCAGCATCAGCATCAGCATCAGCATCAGCATCATCATCATCATCATCATCATCATCATCATCATCATCATCATCGTCATGATATTCCTTGATTTTTCAGTTTCCTATTATTGACAAATTACTCCACATCCTCATCCACCTGCTAGTGCTTCTCCTCCTGCTCCTCATCGTTTTCCTGAACCTCCGCCTCCACAATCGCCCTCATCCCTGCAATCTGTCTCCATCATGAACGCGATGCCGCATCACCTCATCCTCCTCCCTGTCCTCCCCTCAGCAACCTCATTCACCTCCGCTTCCTCCTCCTCCTCCTCGTCCACCTCCTCCTCCTCCTTCTTTTCCTCGGCCTCCTCCTCCTCCTCCTCCGACTCCTCCTCCTCCACCTCCTCCACCTCCTCCCCCTCCTCCCCTTCCTCCTGCTCCTCATCCTCCAACTCCTCCTCATCCTTCGTCCTGCTCCTCCTGCCCCCCCGCCCTCCCTTCCCCTCCCTCTCCTCGTCCTCGTATACCTCCTCCTTTCTTCTTCCTCCTCCTCCTCCAATGCAAGAGACAGAAGATGATAGGGATGAGAGGTGGGGAAATGGGAGAGAGAGAGAGAGGAAGAAAGAGAGGAGAAGAAGGAAGAGAGGAGGAAGAGGAGAGGGAGGAGTAGGACAAAAATAGAGGGGGGAGAGAAAGGGGAAGCAAGGCGAGCGAAGGAGACGTCGGGAGAGACCACCGTCCAGGCGGAAATATCATCGTGCACGTTGTCCATCTGGGCGGCGGAGCCCTGCGGGAGCGCCGACGCCCCGAGCTGCCCACGTGGAGAGGCGACCGGTCAGGCAGGATGGGCCACAGAAGGCAAGAAGAGCAAACGTGCGCTCTTGATGCTCCTCGTAGGGCGACGAAATCTATACATATCCACTGCTCCCTGGCCAGGCCCATCCTCAACCCCGCAGCGGTGTATACGCCACGCCCTCCTGGCTTGGCCAGGAGGGCGCATACACAGCTCCTGGGTTCAAGATGGGCATGGTCAGGGAGCAGTGGATATGTATAGATTTCGTCGCCCGACCTCGTGTTTCTCTTCGCTCCAATGGCACACAAAGTCCTTACATGCCTCCGCGACCCACCCCGCGACCCGCCCGCGACCAACCCGCGAACCCCCCGCGACCCACCCGCGATCCGGCCTGCGAGCCACCCGCAACCCACCGGCGACCCACCTGCGACCCACCCCGCTGCCCACCCACATTGCTTTCACGATAAAACCGCGCCTGCGGCGAGCTCGTTGTATAACTTGTAAGAATGAGGCATTGGCGGCGGGCATCTTCAGAGCCTCGCAGACTGCCGACGCCCCCGCCGCCCCTTTCACTCTTATCCGCAACTGCCGGGTGCTACGTATGCCTCCTCCTCCACCTCCTCCTCCTCCTCCACCTCCTCGTTCCTACTCACCTGCTGCGTCACATCATCCACCCCCTGCTCCTTGGTGATGCGTGTGGCCACCGAACGGCAAGATGCTACTCATCGTAAACAATCCTGGGAGACAAATTACAGGCGAATGCAACGTGCGGTGCAGTGCGGTGCAGGCCAGGACGGACAAGACATGGGCCGAAGGGGGTCACGACGAAACGAATAACCCGGAGAAGCAATTAAGGAACCCCCCGGCGTTATCATTAGCACCGCGCCGCAATTAAATAATTATTCGGGGGGGTTTTCGCCGAGTGATATTATTAGCGCCGCGCAAATGGAAGGAAAATAAATAATTCCAGCGCCCCGCCTCGGGTGGCATCCCAATTAGAATTGTAATGAGAATAAGATCTGGGACTCCGTGGGACCCGTGCGATCTGGTGTACCCCCTCCTGGTGCCAGGATAACGCTTCCGGGTGCCGGGTGCGTTATCCTTTCACCGGAGAGGGGGGGGGGGTCCTTCATCGCTTACTCGGGTTAGCTGGCCTGGATAACAGTAGTGCTTCCGCAACACGCGTCCCACTTGAGAATTGGAGCAGGAGGAGGAAAAAGAGGAGGCCAGGACAAGACATCCGCAGAAGGGGGTCAGCGTCAACACCTACAAAGGAGCTGCGAGTGCGACCTGCGAAATCCCCTGATATTAAATCGCAGACCCAGACTTCTCATGGGGGCCGGCTGGGGGGCATACCCCGAAGCTTCAAAGGACGAGCTCCGAGGTGGCCCCGTAAGAGAGGCTGTCTACCTTGTGAGTACGAGTCCCTACGGGTCAGTGCGGGGGAGCAGCTGTTGGCCCTCTCGCGTGCCCATGATAATTGGGACGCGCTGGGCGAGCAGGGCTCACGAGCGGGGGGGAAGAGCGACGACACGACCTCAAGGAGGAGGAGGAAGAGGAGGAAGAGGACAGTCCCCAGCATCCACCACCATAATACTGCGGCATGGCGCGGCCGCTGCAAATCGCTGCACGTGCGTTCTGCCGCCCGCAGCCTGTGAGCCCCGCGAGGCGCGGAGCGCAAGCGCTCTCCTCCAAAGGGCGCGGCAACTCTTTTTTTTTCTTTTCTTTTTGTTTTGCCACCTTCGGCCAGACCAGTTTTACTAAGCGGCTGACCTAGCAGCCACTCTGAACCTAACACCAGACGAGGGACCAGCAGGCGACCACGGACCCATCTCCCAAAGAGGGAGGATGTCCCTTGGCCACGCGCCAGTCCACCAGGCGTTAGTCTGACCCCGACTCCGAGCCATCAGGGCGGTTCGGAATCAGAGGAGCCTCATCCTCCTCGCTACGCAGCAAGTCGGACACATTCCTCATCACAGCACGGGGGTCAGACGCAGCGGAGGTGGCTTGCACGGGAACCTCTGGCGTTGCAACAGGCACCCTGACCTCAAACAATTCACGGGCTGTTGCTTCCTCAGCCTCGAACAATCATCAAAAACTTCATCTCCAGGTGCAGGTCTCTGCACACCTAGAGCTTCAGGTTGCCCTTCCCGCCCCCCGCTCCCAAGGTCCACCCGCACCCCCATTTCTCTCTCGGCAATCCTAGCCCTCAGAGGGGCCAAACATTCCAAGTGAGACGTGCTCGGAGGGATGAGGTGCACCCGCGAAGCGGTCGCAACGGCACGCACTGCCGCTCCTGACCCAGGTCGTTCAGGAGCCGCACACGAAACTGCAACATTACGCTGAGGATGAAGGCCACGCTTGAGCCTGCTCAGCACACTGGCACCTGCGCTGTGATCCTTGGGATCACATTTCACTGCCAGATTACGAACTTTCTCTTGAGAGTAGCTACCGCAGAGCATACAGAACACTAGGGGCAGCTTCTCGTCACCTACTTGCGTACTAGCTAACTTGTGGCCGTGGTCGGGGGCCTCGGAGAGCAACCTGGTGAGGCTCCTCGAGAGTCCCTTACATCCAACCTCTGGCCTATCTTGGAGGTTACCCCCATAAAAAACTTAAACATTTGGCACACCTGTGGCCCCACGACCAGGGCTCCCAGTCATGCCAGCTCGCGGCGCACGCAATGACCTTACGCTGGCGCTCACGTCGCGGTGGGCGCTGGTGGTGCACCCTCGGAAAACACGGTAACACATTCGCCACGAGGCGGGCCACCGTTTCGAGACTCTCGATCGAGCTATCCAGCTGCTGCCAGTCGGCTGGCGAGGGTCTGGGATGCAGGTCAAGAGCTCCTTTAGCCTCTCGATCCGCTCGCCAGTTAGCCTGGCCAATCCACCGCTCTGGTGGGGGCAGCTGCTCGATGTCTTCTAACTTCCTATGGGCGGGGGTGTGAACAGCTGGGGCATACTCTTGATCCCTCATGTGGAGCAGGGGCCCCCCTTCTCAACCCTCCATAACGTTGCTTGGCCGAGACTTGACATGACGGTTCCATGTTGTGCAGTTTGACGGCATTCATACAATCGCTGTATAACGTCGGCCCATGATTTGGTACATATATTGGTAGCAAGGCGAGCTGGAGTTGTTCTGCTGCTTGACTGGTTTGGGGTAAACTCGGCCACACAACTCCTTTTGCTACATGCCGCTGCACACCCTCAGCATCAAAGAAAACCCACGAGTAAGCCGCTCTCGAAAGCTCTCGGATTGTGTGACGAGCGCAAGACCCGTCGCCAGCCTGGAAGAAGGAGGACCCATCAAACTGATCCCACTCCACTTTTTGCCCACTCATATCAAAGAGCTCTGGCTCGTGCACATCCGAGAGGTTCGGCCACTCGGCCGCTGGGCGCTGAAACTTGAGGGCCTCGAAAAACTGCGCGCCCCCGTTCTGGGCGCGCTCGAGAAAGGCCGTGGAGACATCGGCGGCCTGCCGTGCCGCGACGACCTCCGCGTGCTGGCAGCCGAAGATCCTGTGACCTACCGAGTCGGGCGCCTGACATAAGGGGCAGAGGCCTGGTGTGATGTACCCCGACCGTAAAGCCCTGTCTTCGGTCCAGAGCCCTTCACAAAAACACGTCATCACTAAATATTTACCCTGGGCGTTGAGCCCAATACCTTTAACCCCAGACTTGGTGATGCGTCGGGTTGGTTCCACACACACTCTGGTCCCAGGGGTCCACCCAAGTTTCTTGCCCAAAACTCGCTCGTGGTGCCTCTGGACCCCCAGGCTAAGCCAGTGCCCGACCATGGAGGGGGTGGAGTACAGCAGGGATATCTCCACGCCGTTATCATCGCGCCAGTCGAGGGGGGTGTAGGCTTCCCACCCGATACGCTGAAAGGAGAGGTGCATTCTACTGATCGGGCCTTTGCTTTTTGCCCAATTGTAGCCGGTGGGCGGGACGGTCCGCCACATGCTGCACAGCTCCTGAATCGAGAAAAAGGCGTGCTCGGGACGCGTGGTAGCCGCCCACACAGCATGTGACCACGCCAGGGCAGGGGCAATCATGCTCCTCCACATGGGGTCGCCTAGGAGCGCCGTCTTGGCTCTCAAGGAAACCCCAGCATGTCTCGGCGCCTGAAACGACAACATCACGCTACGCGCGCGCTTAAGTTCAGCATCGCTCATGCCCACAACCGTGCCCCCGAAGCTCAGACCAGGCTTGACCCCAGCCGTGTAGATCTTGCCAATCCTGAAACGCTCCCTTGGAAGGGCCTTCCGATATTTACACAAGATACGGTGTCTCTTAAGCATGTCTTTAAACCTGCCCCGTCGCTTGCTCAGGTGACCTTTCTTACTCCGTTCGCCCCCTGGGGCGAAGTCACAACCTAAGGTCACCATGTGGTTCCCAACATGTCCCGCCAGTTTCCCAAGCTGCTCCCCGAGGCGACGAGCGACACTGGGCGACGAACCAAAAGTCATCAACTTATCTTGTGCTAGATTGACCCCGAGCTCCTGCTTGAAAACACGGTGCAGGTCCTGCGCCGCTGCGGCCAGAGAGTGGATGACCTCAGCTTCGGTGCCATACGACGAGACCGTGTCGTCGTCCACATGCGACGCCAAATCTATGCTGGGGTTCCGCTCCACAAATCCGTCGAAAGGCTCGAGCGCGTACACTCGCACGAAGATGCCGTTAAAAATCGACCCTGCTGGCAGCCCGCTTTCAGCGTACAACACCGCCAGCGCATGATCAGTGCCTAATCGCAAGATCCGAGGGCCTCTCTAGAAGTTGAACGTGACTTTTACCACCACGGGATCAAGGCCCGCTCTCTGGCCCCTATCTCGGAGGAGTCTCAGGTCGAAACTCTCGTAGTACTTCGACCCATCCCAAAAGAACCCCGCGGTGACCCCACCATCGGCCACTCGGGCCTCCGCTTTAACCGCCCGGTTCCACGCACTGCCTTCCGCCGACTTCCCCGCTCCGAAGGCCCAGTACCTACGTGGA